AATTTTGTAACGTCTACTGCCATTGGTAACGACCAAGACAAATTTCTCCCTGCGAGATGAATAAAGATTGTCATTGTCATTGTCATTGTCTTATAATGAATTCTATTTAAAACCCTTTTGGTGTATAACCTCAACAAGAGAAATCACCTGACAATTCATGGCAATGTTGTTTTCTCTCTGACTGAACCATTCTACACGAACCATTGACTCTGGTCCGAATTAGCTCAGGGGAAAGAGGGGAAGGAGATACTTATCCATTCATGATTTCCCAATTTCCTGATACAACTGCACCGCTTTTCTATATAATCGTTGGTCCGAATTGACGAACGGAAGAATGAATAAAAAGAGTTGTGTGTGGGGAGGAGGTGGGGATAATCCATTACTTCATTTATTATTACCCCATTACCTGATGTAACTGCACCACTTTTCCGTATGTCGCCTAAATGGGAGAGCGTAAATCATTACGGTTGACTGACGCAACTTCCTGGAGTTATCGATTAGTTGCTTTTTTTTTTTTTTTTTTTCGAACGAATATTTAATCGTCCTATTAATGCGAATTTCGTTTTTCTTGGTTTTTCGATTTTGAGTTTTAATTCGGTCATTCTTTATCTCTCAAATTTGAAGGACACAAAAGTTATCTCTCCTTTTTGTGTGTGTGTACCTCTCTTGTAACACATCTAGTCTTCCACTCTAATTACAATATGACCGTTTTGTATTGGGTGTACCGGAAAGCTCTTTCTATCTAAAACTAAACTCAAGAAGTACAATCATTATCGTGTGTTATGGAGAGTTTAGATACCTCTTTGACGTGCCAAGGTGAGATGGCTTTAGGTTAAGTTCTTATTATGGGTTTGCTTATGATTATAGCTGTGGTTGTGGGTGTTGTTGCTGTATGGTTGTTGTTGCTGTATGGTTGTTGCTGTATAGTTGTTGTTGTTGTTGTTATTGTTATTGTTGAGGTTGTGGTTTTGCTTATTTCTGATGTTGATGTTGTGTCGTCGTCGTTTTTGTAGTTGTTGTTGTTGTTTTTGTTGTTGTTGTTGTTTTCCTGTTGGATGCGTTTCTCTTTCGCTTACGGGATGGCCACTAATAGTGCAAAAAGTTTCTTCACATAGAAAGGAGAAAAAAGAGAGAGGGAGGGGGGGACATGTCAATTTTAATGTAAATTTACTCTGTCTTCTTTTTCTACTTTCACAAACACACACATACTCACAAACACAAAGCACACACACAAACACACACACACACACACACACACACACACACACACACACACACACACACAAACACTCACACTCTCACAGACGCACACAAACACACACGCGCGCACATATAATGTAATAAGAAGAAATATAATCTGTATTTCGAAAAAAAAAAGAAAAGAAGATTCCTGTAACCCTGTAGGATTGTGAAATTCTCTCGCCGTAAAGGAGAATAATAATATAATGCTCGATTGACTTTCCAACAGTTCCCCCACGTCCCCAGTGATTGAATGAACCTGACCAACAAAAATGTTTTTGCTGCCTTGTCAAGATCGCTGTTGTCCGCATTCTTGGACAGATTTGTCCACTGATGTAGAACGTAAGGGCAGTTGATACGATCAAGATCATCAACAGTCAGCATATTATTGCACGACTACATTACTTGCAATTATATCTTGTGTAAATACTGGAAGGCCTGTACAAGCTATCCGGGTTTGTTCTGGGAACCGTTTGATTGATTGGGGCTTTCTGTTGTGTCCTTGTGGGTGGTTGGCGCGTGCTCTAGTGTGGTTTGCTTCCTTTTTCCTATCAAACATCTATCGTTCTTATTTCTGTTCTTTCTTTTCTTTGTAAGCTATTCCTTAGTAACGCCAATTTTCTTAGGCATTTATATTATGCCCTTTTTGTATTGCACGTGCCGTAAAACTATAAAATACCCCCGGGGCAGTGCCCCTGAGTGTAGTGTCTTTAGGCCATTCCCAAGGGGGGGGGGGGGGGGGGACATTTCTCGTTCAAGCACAGTAGAATTGTAAATGGGCTGATTCACCATGTCACGCTCTTAACTGTGCCTGATCTGCAACCGGAAACTTCTGCTTTTTCTTTCCTAATCCTTACTATTGTCATTTTCCTCTACTTCTTTTGTTGTCACACTCTTGTTACCCGTTATTTCCGGGGTGCCTTGATAGTCGAAGCAGACCTTGTGCTGTTGAAGCTAGAGAGGTGAGCAGAGTAAATCAGATTCCATGTAAGGACTTCTCTGTTGACACCCACCCCCTTGGCGCTCATGTGACCTTATGCAGTTGCGAGCGCCGTAAAACCCCCTACTAAAAAAAACAACAAATTAAAAAAGAAACCTATAAAACCCAATGTTCTGTCCTTCCTCCCTCTAAAACTTATACAAGGATAATTTTATGAATGTTGATAGCTACAGATGTTAGAATACACAAAGCTGGCTCTTGAGTGGCAGTTTGCCTTATAGAAATGCTATTATTATTA